TGGGTAAAAGAAAAGAAAGAAACTGAGTCAAAAGCTGAACTGAAACAAGATATGAGCTAGGGCAGAAATGATTTAAGAAAGAGCTTGTACAAGGCCTCAGACTAACCCTAACCCCATTACTATTTTTCTTGGTGCTTTTTACGCAGCACTTACATCCAAGTTCTGTAGACAGTACCAGCAAAACGTGTGCTTGCAGTTCTTGCACATCATCTGAGCACAGCCCTCGTTTCGCTCAATATAGATCCGACAAACTGGGCACTGCTTAATTGGWGCCTCTGTCTCTGCTCCAATGAGGAATCTAGAAGAGTAAGGAAACATTAAATGAGATGTGAACGTAATTACTGTTGGTATTCAGGTCCACTGCCCAATGTGTATTGTGCTTATTTTCCAGAGCATCTAATGTTGTCCTAATGTACTCAGCATGTGAAGCTTCTWATATTCAGCACTGAAGCATACTCACTACTCAGTGTGAGACTATTAATAYCACCAAAAGTGAATATCCCTTGCCTTGTTCTTTTATGCTACATAAAACCAACACTCACTACACCCACAATTAATCACCTATAGCATTAAAACCTATGACTTTGTTACAGAGAGATTGCACAATTCATTTAACARGACTGGATTATGCAACTCATAGCACTGTCCTTGTCTGAATAAAATAGGCTTAAACTCATCAAAGCCASCAATCACACCTAGGGAAGAAAACTCATGGAGGGAGCTTTTTGTTAACTCCTATTCAATGAAGTCTCTAGCAAGAAGAATGCTTAGGTTTTAAGTCTTTCATTTCTTGCAAAAAAAGATAGAAAACTTTGAACACATGACTCAACATAACCTGAGTCTGAACACAACAATGGATGACCAAAGACGTGACATAATTTMAACATAAAAGCTTTCTTTCTGTAGATTAATGACTTTTACAACCKGATCTGTAGGTTGTTTGCACTTAAACAAGATAAGCAGAAATCAGGCTTCTCAYACCAAGTGATATTTATACTCTGTGTAGGAGTTAAGGTTTGTCTGTGAAGAGATTCTATAAATATTAAGCAGGGGTGATTTCTTAATCATAGTATAGGCAAAATTTGGATCCTGTAATATTGATATACTGGATTTTTTGCATGGGCRCAGGTCATAATTCCAGAATGTGAACAAAGCCTTTTGGCAGATTTAAAGTCCAGGAGGGCTTCACCTTTCAGAAATGTCAATTGGAACCCAAGCTTAACAAGTATACAAGCGTTGAAAACATAAATTTATCATTTAAAGTAATATTTCGACTGGAATTGTACTTAGGAAACAGAAGGAGAGATGGACAGGCTCAGAACTCAACCTAAGGATCTAGAATGAAGTTGCTCTATGAACCTGATGTGAGGCCCTGTGACGAAAAGAACCAAAAGACCACACGGTCTCCATGGATTCCCACCTTACCCCTGCTCGGTTGGTACTGAAGTAGTTTGGTTTTCCTGGCACAGGTGCTGCGGATGCCACAGCTCCTTGCAAGAGGAGCAGAACTTGAGGTGGCAGGAGGGGCATTCCACCAGTACCGGCGCTCCCGACTCACTCGGTGCGATGTGGCACACGGTTTGGCAGTCGGCTGTGGGGCACCATGTTCTCTGGGGGTCCAAGTGGACTTCTGAAACGCAACAAAGAGAGAAGTAAAACTGTTTATACAGTCCCCTTCTTGTTCCAGCGACATATGTCTAGGGATACAACACCCAGCTCTGTCAGTGGGTGCGGGAGCCAAAGCGCTCCCGCATTTGAGCCTTCTCTTTTTCAGGCAGGTCTGCATTTGTGCTCTGCYAAGCAGCTGAACTGAAAGCATTGCAACAATAGAAATGCACTACACTGAACATGTCCCTTGCCTTTTTATAGGAGGTTCAAAATATGAGCCTAACTGCTGCTTGCTGAGAAGCATGTCTTTTGTAACACCTCTCCATGTCTTTCACATGTAAAAGTCATGCAGTAACTTCCATATAAACAGCAGAAGGACTGTAATTAAACTAATGTCAAGTCAATTTCCATGCCTTATTTATTATCCTCTATTAACTCCAGTTAATATTCACTATATTACATCATTACTATTTKTGTGGTATCAGATTATAGATAAGAGTCAAGATTCAGGGTGGAGACACTGAGTTACAGTCAACACCACATGACAGAGAATGATAAATGTTGATCCTCTCTCTCACTTCCCAATCTTTATTCAAGGAATTTGGACTTGCAGCAAAAACCCAGCTGAGACACATTCACTGTAGCTCATTTGCTACTCAATTCCATGAGATGCAGCCGAACACTCACACCCTGCAGAGCCTCCCCAGAAAAGGGCTGTCGTGCCTGCAGGAGCTACCTGTCCCTCCTCCTTCCCTGGGAGCTCTCCGGTACCAYCACTGAAAATAAACAGATGGATGGGATGTCTCAGAAACTGGTGGAAATCCTGACTGTGAGATGGCAAAAGCCATCACAAGGTACCTCCACCACATAAAGTAAGTTGTTCCACTTGAAACAAAAGGCTGCACAACACTCTCCTATGTATGTTCTCTGGCAAATTTTGCAGAAACCACCTTGGATGAYCATCTCTGCTGGCTGCAGAACACACAGGTACACAGTACTCTGACTTCAGGTAATCTCTGAGTTTGTGTCAGAGTGTTCCAACGCGTGGAGAATTTCTATATCCATGCAAAGGCTGTCACCTATAATTTAGGCAGTGACAGCRAAACACCTGTACCATCTACCTTCAACCATTTCATGGATCTAGTTGCATTTTTTTCTCTTACTCTCTTGCACACGTTTTGTCTCCTAAAACAAACAAACATTTTGCTTTTTTCCGAATGAAAGCCAAAACAAATTAGCTCTCAGCTTCATTTGTGGGGAGGAGAGACTTGGCCATACAAGTAACTTTTCATATTTACATACTTTTAAAAAGTAGTATCCTGACTGAGAAATCTTTATTTCTCTAGGTTCCTTTGGTGTCTCTTAAAAGCAACTCTGAACTGGGTAAGACCATGGCCTAGTATTTGCTATTGCATTTAATCCTTCACACAATAGGTTCTGTATGTWTTCTGTTGAAAACTCAGCTTTGGAAACCTAAAATCCCGTATCCTGTTTCTGGGTGAAAGACAGGATGTCTGGTTTTGACAAGATGTAATGCATGAGATGAAACTCCCTTCTCTCCACTTCCTCCATTTCACAAAGAACCTACAGATGGTGTTTTGCAATCCCTGCTGTCTCATACTGTTTGGTTTACCATGGAGTACATGCGAGACCAGAATAAACTAAAAAGGCAAAGCCAAAAAAAGGAAAGAGGCTATCATCCTGCTCTGACAAGTTGCTCTGTCTCTTGGTTAGGGCCATTTGTCTCCTGAGCCTGTCCCCTGCATCCCTGCAGCCAGTTCAGCCACAACTGCCTTCACTTTCAGGAGGAAAGTCTTCCAAAACAGCGCCAGTTTTGGGCAGGGATCTGGCCAGTGTTCATAAAACATGCAAGCAAGCAGGTGAGATGTGGAAGGCAGACAGGGGAAATGCAGCACCCCAAAGAAAATATTTTCTGGCTCAGGAGAGGCACTCTCTGAAAGGATGAGTCTATGATAGCAATTCACAGAATATTAGGAACACCTTTCAATAAAGACTACTTTTGAGTCAGGCATAAAATGGACATTCTCTTCATCTATCACTTGGCCTGCTGAGCAATTGTCACAGAAACAAACACAATGCATATCTCCTAACCACTTACTATTCCTCTATTTCCTTATTTCTGTTGACTACATCAACCCCACCCAAMACAGAGTAATTCCTGTTTCTTCTACTAAAATACAATTCACAGAAGCTCTGTGGCTTGGCCCTGACTGGATGCAGAGAAGCTCCAGATATGTAAGAAAGCTTGTTAGCTTGTTTTTTAAAACACAATTGCATTCTAAGAACATTAAATTTAACAACTGTCTATAGATACACATTTCTACGCCAATTATTTCTCACTGCTTTTTCACACAATATTATTAGCCCATTAAAAAAATAAAACAATGAAATTGAAAAGTAATATATTTTATTAACATAGCYAGCATGGACGGGGGAAATAGCTGCTGGATGTATAAGCCATTCTTGGGGTTTCCCAAATTTTCTTCAAATTTCATCTCACAATGGAAAACAGCTGGAAAGGTGAGAAGCATTTGCTTTACCRATCATTGGAAGATCAGTAAGGAGTCCCCAGGCAGATTCTGAGTCAGGATTCATCCCCATCAGCAAGGTTTATTGGTAGTTTCAGAAAAAGACTATCAGACCAGCGYTGGCAGGCTTTGCCAGGTAAGGCTCAGGTCTGAGAACAGAGCTTCAGGCCAAAAGAAGTAAGTCAAGTCCAGCTGATGCGTGCAGAAAGGGCAGCCTTGGTGACAGCACTAAATCCAGGACAGGCAAAAGGTCTTGGGATTAGCACTGGGTGTCCAGGTCAGMGCTTTAGCTAGCAGGAATCATTGTTCCAGACATCAATAAGCTGGATTTATTGCTGGGGCCGAAAGGCAAGGTAAAAGGGCTAAGTCTAAGTCTGTTGTTTGGACACCAGTTTTACTCAGCATAAAGGAGCAAAGGCAGATATTAGAATCATAATAAAGAGAGATAGGGGAGGTGGAAGAGGAATTGTCAGACTCAGGCAAGAAAGAAAAAGAAAGGAGTATTTAGAAAATAGACAAGTTTCAGGCTCCTCTGCGTGGGAGGTAGTAAAAAAATAAAAGAGAAATGTTAACAGTGAGTTGGACAAAAGATCATGAGTTCAGCTTTGGCTAGTTACAGAGGAGCAGATACCAGGAAACCAATAGTTTCAGAGTCCTCAGTTAGAAAACGTTCTACATAAAAGAGATTAATTTATTGCAAGAAAGCCTCTCTTAACCCTTTAATACAGTGATTTAATGAGCTCTGATTTCCACTGTCTAGGACTGTAGACAAGCCACTGATTAGCTCATGAACTGGAGAGACTTCCTAAGGAATTAAGAATAAACAAGAAGGTGGTAAAACAGGAGAAAGAAATAAAAAATGAAAGCAAGCTTTGGGATTTTGAGGATTTTTTTTTACCTGAGTGCCTTAAAATCATAGCTACAATCTGCACTTGCCCATGAACTCTGGGGCATATTTGAGTATTTTGCAGTTTTTGTACTTTGGGGTCATTCACAAGAACTCTTGTCAGAGGAGATTCTATATAAACCTATATATTCTTCTATCTGACCACGTTTCAAGTGCATTACTTTGCCAAACTTTCATAGATCTCTGCATTGTCTTACATGTTCCCAATCCACTGCATCCAAGCAGGCATGACGAGCAAGAGCATAAATACAATCTCTCAAGGAGAGTTTGAGAACACACAGAGTTAGGGCAATGTCTCAGATACACCACTCTGCACGCTGCCACACACTGAGTTCTCTGAAAAACACCACACCTTCCAGCTGAGACTTTCAAGCTGATGACAGTCTTTAAAACCAGGAATTGGATCTCATCTTTCTGAGTTGCAAGCTTCTTCTTCAGCCTTGGCAAGGAACCATCTCCTGTTGCAGAAGGATGACCTCTGGGCATAGGAAAACCTTCTCTCTCAGTGAGAACTTCAGTTTCAAACTTTACAAAACAGGCCCCTCAGTAATGAGGGGACCTATAGTTCTTTGGGAAGAAAAACTCCACTGATGAACACACACAAAGCTTCTACGTAAAGCAAAGTGATTTTGCAGGGATGSTTGCAAAAATCCACACTGCACTTCAGAAAATGTGTCCCCCAGAAGCACTGAAGATTCCCATGGATGTGAAAAAGGACTGCCCTGGCCTGCACCAGCCTCTAGCACCTTGCCTAGTTCTACAATACAACACCTCAAGGACCCAAGATGCTACTGGGAAGAACAGCAGAGCCCCAGGCACACAATCAGAGAATGCTGCCCACAAGCTTGAGTAAAAAACCAGAAATTCAGTAAGATGCTGCTTTTTTGATTCTGCAAAACTGAAAGAACTTCAAATTCACCWGTGGAGCACAGTCTAGTGACTGCTCTTAAACTATTTTGAAACCAAGACATCTTCTGTGTCTCTTTCTTAACTCACTCCACAGGCTCTGTCTCTGCAGTAAATAACAGTGCTGCCTCCACTGACAAAAGAGAAGGGAACAGGAACAGAAAGGTTCACACCTCGTTCAAACTTCAACCTCTTGTATAGCTGAAACTGGTCAACAGGAACCAAACAGGCAATCTGAAATGAGAAACAAACACACAAAATACACATTAGAAATACAAACTTTGAAAAGTTAATAAGCACAGTTCTACAGACCTGCTTTCCTGAGCTGGCTCTCAAATTTATATTTTTGTTCTGCTTGCTTTCAGCATCACATTTCTTCATACCTTGACTTCTTCTCCAAAACTTAAAGTAGCTCTAGACCACCCCTATTTCAGCCACACACCCCAGTAGTCCAACCCATGTCCTTCTTACTATGTATAGGAAAGCCTTCCATGTGGGTTCCGTATTTACTTCAGGCTTCTCAGTTCTATTTCATGTTGGTTTAGTGTAAAAAAGGGTGACACTGCCAGCGTGCTGGAGACTGCAGCGTGCTGTTCATGCACAAGAATACAGCCCAAATGAATGGTTCTTCATTCATGTCTCCCAGTGCTAATGGTGGGGGTCACTTAGCTCTCAAGAACTAAGAAAAAAGCCAGTCTGGTTTCCATTTTTTAATTCATTTCATGGGGTTTGGGTAAAGACAGCTAATGCCATTGCTGCTGGAATTTGCTTTAGACATGCACCAGCCTATTGGGAACATGACTGAGYTAACGAATTTAGTCGGCACAGACAAACAGGCTTTGCTGATATATTTTGCACATTACCATAATTAAATGAGCAGCCTAAAAGGCTAAATGCTCTAATCTCCAATTAACAGTCTACGTAAGAAGACCAAGTGCCCTATTTAAAACTAATAAGAAAACCTGCGGACAGGGTATGGAGGTTTTCAAAAGAAACTTCATAAAAGARGCTTCAGGAGTCACATGTTTGTCAGATTCAGAATGTGGGATCATTCTCTTTAACTGGTCTGTAATATTGTACCAGCACTGGAAATATTTTTTTTCTTTTACTGAAAACCTGGGACCTGATCATCTGAAGCTCTATAAGACAGTGTAGAATTGACAATTTCAAAGTGCCAGGCTTTCAAATCTCACATCCAGTACCCACCACAGTCCTTCAGATTACTGTAAAGTTCAAAATTTGCTCACAGTGAAGTGGACACTGTCCTCCTGGGTTGTGGGGTACAGCGTCCCCGAGAAGAAATATAATGACAAAAATCCAATATATATTCAATTTCATGCTGTGAATACATTTTCTTTCACAGATGGAAAAAACAAATTTGTATTATAAAATACAAAATTGCTTTATTAATATMTCAAATCAATTGGACTTGATTGCATAAAACTGCATTTTGTAGCAAATGCTTGGATCATTTATTTAACCTAAGCCAGTGTAATACAAAAATGAATCCAAATTATGTCAAGACTTAATAAGTTATATGACTGTAATTGATTAATATTTAAGAKTAATATGACTGTAAAACACAGAGATTTTTCTGGGAAACTCTTCACMKGTTCATCAGAAGTCAGCTGAAACACTCTTGGAAAAGAAAAACTAAATCAAATGGGCAAAAAGAGTGWGGTTTAGCAGTTTCAGSAAAGACATCATTTCAGCATTGCCCRYTCCTCCCCAGKGCAGCTTCGCACATAAATAGYTGGGAAAATGAAAAGAATCATCTGCATTTCTCTAGCTGGGTGAGCACTGGCAACTATTTTAAATTTTCCTTCATTACAACTAAATTAAAACAGTGAGTCTCAGTGCTGTAAGAGCCACTTGAGTGAATTGTTTAGTTGGTCAGGGTCCCTCTGGACTTGCTTTTACTTTTAACAAACAGTTTTTCCAAGGGCAGTTCTATTGAGCGCAGAATTTCTCATGTATTAAAAATCAGCTTTTTTGATTACAGTGGGAGCRGAGTTATGCATCTTAAGAGAGATTTCAATAGGAAGCAGAGGCAGTGCTGAAAGCTTCCCATTCTCCTGGGAAAAACTTGAGTTTACCATGCCAGCTTTCCCCACTGGCTTCACTCAGCTCCACTCTTTTTCCTACGTATCCTCTTCACAGCTCAGCTTCCCGCTCCCTGCGTGCAGCTCTGGGCRTGGAACCCATGCAGCCCATGACCTGTGACACTGGAAGACCAGGTCCTGATGGCACCCACACACAGGTCAGCCTGAGAGGGGCAGAACCAAAGCCTCTCACAGGTTTAGTATCTTTAGGCCTGAAGAAAACAACTCACAAACTCCTGCTGCCTGAATTCAGTGCCACGTGAAAGCTGTATGTGCAAACTTAATTTGAAAAAAGAAACATGAATATCACGTCCCCATAAAAAAAACAGCAAATCCTTTCCTCAGTGAACTTTTAATCTCATTTACACCTAATTGAGAGGGACAGTCATAAGCACAGTAAGGGGATTAGGTGTTTATCTCCTCCTCCTTGGCATCAGTCTAAATGTTCATTCTCCAGCCAGCTTCTCCAGCCCCACCTGGGTGTCTGTCCATCCCAAACACATTCTCTCCTCCATGACCACTCTGGGCTGGGCAGGGCATGGGAATCTAAGGAGGCAGCAAACCACCAACCAGCAGATGGCAAAAGGGCCAACATATCATCAACATATTAGAAAGCAGGCTTTTCCTCTTCTAGGCTATGAAATTATTCAATGTAGGAAGAAATGCTAGAGGACAGGTTTGGGCAACGTTTTTTGTCTTTTAATACTGGGGGTTTTAATTAAAAAAAAATACAGGCAAAAACTCTCCTTTCCTGAAAATATCTCGATTTGAGACTTATCAGACTGTTAGCAATTGAAGTAAGTTTTCTGATTTTCCATATGCTGTAAGCAGTATCTGCAATTAAAATACTCTCGCTATAGAGCACAAGAACACACAGGAGCTATTGCTAACAACAGCACCATTCACCTGAAGTAAAAATATCCACAGATAAAAGCAATATTTGGAAGGCTTACTACCACAAAGAGCTCCAGCTGGAACCCTGTCACACATCCAAAAAGATCATGTCATCAAATGTATCACAATAACTAAGATCCCTGCTACTACATGAGACGAAAGAGCAAAGAAAGGAAATTAAAAGGACTCAAAATAATTTGGTTCCGTGTACACAGGGGCAAACTTCTCCAGGCAGTGCAGTAACCAGGATCCAAGGAAGAACAACTCCCCTGTTTTTAAACAGTGGCTACCACGGTGGAAAAGGAAAATCMCTACTCCACCTATTCTCAGGCTTTCAAGGGAGATGCAAGGAAGCAATCAAGAAAACTGAATAGATCTTGCTTCCTTTCACACCCATATGAATCAAATTTTGATTATGCCAAGAGAGGGAAGTTCAGCAGGACAAAAGCTTCTCCCTTTCTCACTTTAGCAGACAGGCAGCAAAGGCAGATCCCACACTGGCAGCAGCAACAACAGTTTACAAAGGGTGATTGCCCACCTCTGCCAAAGCTCCACTCACAGAGGCACTGTCTTGTTCTGCAAGAGTGTAAAACCATTTCAGCAGGGATTGTGGCTTGCTTTTGAAAGGGGTAGGGGAGTTCAATCTCTTTATTGTTAGAAATTACACCCACAACTTTCTTCATCAAGCTACCATGCTCACTAGAGTCATAATGAAATACTAAATTATTCATTTTCCCCATTAAAGAGCTCTTCTCTGATTTAGTGGCAAATAAAAACAAAAATAAGGGTCTCCCATTTGCTCCCCTAGGTTTTATTTTAAAACAAGTAAATAAGAACAAAAATTTTTATTTTGACCCTGAAAAAGATGGCTCAACCTGCAACGTTTTTCCACGTTCCTTCTCATTTCACCATTTCAATCTCCTCCAGCAAAATGTAMACTGATTTTCCAATTAAAAATAAAACCAGTATTTTAAACCAAGTCCCARTGGGATTTTGTGTTTGGCTATGTATGGAATATAACACAATTAAGAATTCTAAGATCTGGGTTACYGTCCTATTTCAGCATCACTTTACAAAGGCTGACAACCCTCTGTCAGGTCAGCACTGGTACAGATCATAGATTTACACAGACAGAGGGACAATGAGCAGAATCTGCACTGCATAAAAAGGGTAATTCCTGACAAACTTAAGAGCCCAAAGAGTCAGTAGCTCCTTCACTGACTGCTGCACAGTTTTAATCCAAATCAGATTATGTATGCATGGATCACTGCATCAATATTATAAACCCTAGAACAATAGAGGAATCAGAAAGTGCAAAGCACAATGCCCTAGATATTATCCAGTTGAGTACTGGATAGAACTGCATTAGAAATCCCTGTATGCAGTGGAGACTTACCCTGATTCATGGCTTACWCTGGTGACTGGAATCACACCAAGCAAAACCATTTCAAACCATGATAAATTACCCCTTATTTAGATTAGGGATATTAACTGGTCCAATTAAATCAATGGAGCAAATTCCCAAGAGACACAGGAATATTCCAGACAGAAGAAGTCTGCATGTTTAAAGAGAACTGCATTAACGTAAGATGTTCCTTCTACCTTCTGCTTCCAGGAAGGAATCCAAGTAATCTTTGTTTATTGTACCATTAGAGCATGAAAGGGCAAACATTTTGTTTAACAAAACTGCTTTTAAACTTTCCTTGTTTTGTGTAACCACTTATTTGAAAAAGAGTCTGGAGCCAAAACCATTGCATTACCACCACCACCCCTCATTTATTTCTGCTAAAAGACTGCTATTCTACAAGCAGCKGCTATCTAGATGTAACAGGTCAAGATATGACCTAGGATTGCACTTGAATTTCAACCACTTCAGTGGAACAGTTCCTTCTGTTTGAATGCACTATTTGTCAAAACAAAAAACTACTGGGGAATATACCAGTTTCAACTAGATTCTGTTGAAGCAAAAGAAACCCAAGCCAGAGGGGTTTCAGAAAACATATTTTCAAAGTACTGAAAACTACAATTTTCTAGTTCAAATGACTTTTGACTTTATGCATTTTAAGAACAAAAAACCTGGAACATTTTTTGCTGAAGTCCAGAGGGAACTCAGAAAGTAAAGCCTTTAATTCCCATCTATACTCTACAAATAAGTAGTTTACTCCCCATGCAYTGATGAAATATTCAACTGTTTTAGAGACACACATTCCTACTATTCACACTGGCTCATTTCTTCATGAGACATACAAGAAGAAAYTCTGTTCTAATTCTGTTTAAATTGTTAACCAGAGTTTTTGCCTCTCTCCATCCCCCAAAAGCAACAGAAGCACATGAATCAGAATCAAGACAAGAGCTGTGAAAAGGCTCAAATAATTTCATACCAAACTAGACAAACTCATCAGAATTTTACTGGAAAGATAAACAGGACTCAATTCTGATTTGTCTTAATGCAGACAARCATGTCACAGGAAAGCACTGACTAAATGCTACATTCCTTAAAAAAGGACTTTGAGAGGGAGAAGAAGAGGACTTTCATAGTTATACTGTGCTCATAGCTATACTGTGTTAAAAATGCTTACAAGCTTTGTTCCACCTCCTTACTGAAGAAAGCTCAATCCAAAATGCACTGAAATCAAGGAAGGGACTTTCCTTCTCTTCAGTTTATGCCTAACTTCACCTTTATCTCCCTTGTGCAGGCTAGGTCAAAAGGCATTTAAGAAACCAAACAGAACAACTGTTTTAGCTGATATAACAAAATGCATTTAGCCCGAAGTTTAGGAAACAATTTTGCACCATGTCCATGACAGTTTGAACTGCTGTTTTTTCTCCAAACTGCAACAGCACCTGGTAAACAGCAGTCACTGCATAGTCTGAAAGGAACAKGACATGAAAAATACCCCTTTTCAAAACACTGGTGCTATCACAGAGGAGAAAAAAAGGACCTTTTCTTTTTGTTTTTCCCCACAGTACAAGCAACATGCCTCATGGCACCGTCCTGGTGAGGAACCTTGTCCTGCCAGAAGTCAGAGACAAAATATCCAGACCTTCCAGAAGTGAGAAGCCTTATACTTTTACACCAGGACTTTGAGAGTGTGTAAAGAATAAACTGTAATTGTAACCAGTACTTCCACGCTGGCCAAACAGTAGCCATTGTTAAGCACATTCTCTACCAACTGATAAGGGTCTGGTTTTTAAAGAAATAGTTTTAGAAGGTCACATTTTCATGAGGAACAGCCTTTATTTACAGATGGGGGAAAAAGTAACACAGTGCTCATACACAATCTTTAGTTCAAATGCTAATCTTTCAGATTGTTAAGAGAATCAATCAATTCTTTCTGTCATTCCTGTTTTTTTCTGGGTTTTTTTTTTTTTTTCTGGGTTTTCTTCCTTAAAGAAATAATTATTTGGTAAAATACATAAGCAATAACTTTAATCAGGCTGGGAACTTGTTTGCTATTCAGGCAGAAGACTTATGTTTCAAGCACATGGCCAAAAGGGAGTGTCAAAACATTCAGTCATCCACGGGACACTAATGCACATTTGGGCTGTTTTGCCATTCTGCTGTCAGCCCAAAAAACACCCAAGGATTAGGCCAGTGGTCCATTAAGACACCCCTGGAGTGTCCTTTACTAGGGGAAATAGATCTCTCYTAATTCCTACAGCATTCTTCCTGTCATTAGTCAATTTTCATTTAAAAATATGTTTTCAATAAAGGCTAGATGCCTCCAATCTGGTGCAATGGGTAGAAGGACAKTGCTACACCCTCTCTTTGTAGAAACAGGAGGAACAGAAACAGCYGGCTACATTTCACAATAGCTGAATTCAGCCAAAAATAAAAAGCTCCACCATATGCCTGCACACCATAACAAACATAGCTGCAAGTCCCATGCCCTGATTCAACTAAGCTTTGAAATGTATGTTGGAGAGCAGATYCTGAGCTTTTTCTAGAGAAAAGACTTTTTTGGTATCGGGAGTCACACTGTCACTGATGGCATTTGAACAGGATTACACACTTCTGCCACAGTTAYGGATCTGTATGCATGTGGGTCAAGGGAATCCAGCAGACAAACTTTTCTTCTTCAGTTCAGGGATGGAGAGCTAATTCTCCTTGAATTTATTCCTGCAAGCAAATGCTGAAAGAATGCACAAAACCAATCAACTCTTAGCCACCTTATTTTTTCTGGTTTGTTTTTTTTTTCCCCTACTTGTATTCTCAGGCCCTGCAGGGACATTCCTGCCATAAAGCAGGCGAGCAAGCATCCCTTGGGTGTATCCCAAACGACACCTTCCATATCTCTCAAGACCTACTTCTACCTAGTCCTGTGCAGATACCTTTCTTTCCATGTAATTATACAACCTTGCATGATTATATTGGATTGCAAATTGGTAGCTGCAGCCCAAGATCAACATGCACAAGGAAATTCTGACCTTGCAAACCATCAATTTGAGCTCTTGCTCTTAAGAAACATGCAAGAATTTCAGTGTTTGCAGCCAAATCAAATCTGACTGAACTGACATCTAATGGAGGCTCAGCAGTTCTGGGATACAGGGTATTCTGGTTAAATCACCTGCGTGGGTAATTCAGAGGTTGTCCAGATGCCAAGTAAACCTTTCCCCAAGGCACAGAGGGAGGGGAAAAGAAGCAAAACCCTTGAAAAACATCTGTTTGTTTCTATCTCCTCTTGTCAGTCAGGCCTCCTGCCAAAAGCTCATTAAAGGTAATTAAAGGGAGGAAAAAGTGTGTGATTATATTTATTATGCAGATAAAGAAATTTGGGGGATATATATTTAAAAAGAAAAAGGGCATGAAAGGAAGAAAGAAGTAAAGAAGTATAAGATGTACAGATACCTCTGCTTCTTGTAGGGTCCCATGGTTCAAGCATACCATGTCTGGACATGTGATAGGAGAACCACAACCTTCTTGAATTGCCAGTTCCATGTACTGTTTTAGACACTAGAAACAAGTAAAGAAAAAAAAAAGTTATGGGCCACATGTTGGTAACAACCAGATGTCAGAGATGCTGTGCAGTTCCCACCTTCACCGCCTTAATTGGCTGTCCTGAAGCTCCAGCACACAGCAAACATCAATTATTGTAAGCGTGAATGCCACAAGTCATTACACTGGAAAGAATGCAACAAGGAGCAATTAATTATGCATGACTTCATCTGCCCAGCACTGCGTTTACCTAAGTCAGCAAGTCAGACCTTCCAGCCCTAACAACCTTTGCATTCTGCTAAACTGGGATTGGAGGATTTGGCAGAGGGGGGGGGGGGAGTATCTTCTATCCTAATTAAACAGGCTTCATTCCTTTGTTTTTCCTCCTGTGTTCTTAATTCAGACACTCAGCCAGCAGTCTCCATTGTAGGAGAACTCATTTACAAGAGACTACTGTTCTCAGCTGCACAAAARGGGAAAGGGGTTTATAACCTGCTTGGGAGGCTATAATCTGCCYTAGAAKATGTGCAGCTACCAGCTCTTCCTCSCCCTCAACCCCCCACATAGATCAAATAATTTCCATGGTTTATCATGATTATCATCAGCCTCTACTCTACCCAAGCCTATTTCCAGCATGGGGACCACCATGTGAATGTTTCCAATTGTTTCATTACACAAAAAAAGCAGGCTTCCTCTCCAAGCTAAAAAAGCCCTCTACTCTCCCCACAATTTATTTGGCATGCCAGTTTCAAATACATTCCGTTTATCTTTATAACACATATTATAGAGTCTTCAATAAAATCATGGCACAAACTCATTAACTGACCAAAGAACAGTGCTCGAATTGCTCCTCCAAATTGCACAGGTAAGTAAGTAAGGTTACTTCTAAATAAAGCAAAACAACGAAGTATCCTCAAAATTATGGCAAAGCATACAATAAATTGCAAATCACCGTTAACAAAACAACGAAGCATGGACTTGTGACAGATTTTGGCATCAGCTTGCATAGTTTACTGTAAATTAAAGTAAACACATTTTACAAAAAGTAGGACTAAGGTAGGTTTTTTTCCCTACAGTTTATATTACAGTTTTTATTTGTTATGCCCACATAACAAACATTTCCCCCTTCTCTTCAGTACTGCTGACTTCTTCCCTTATTGCCCCATCAGTTTTCAAGAAATATGTCAAATTGAAATGTTTTTGAGACCTCTGTCTCTCTGCCAACTTTTGGAAGAGGCACTGTGTTCAAAAGCCAATAGGTGGGTGAGGGGGAAATCACAGACCTTCAGAGTATAGTGTCCTTAGACTCTTCAAAAAACATTGTTTTATTATTTATAGGCATTCAAGTCTCTGTTGGTCTGGACTGTTCTGAGAAGGCCTTGCATATTGTACTCTGATTAAAGAAATTTTCTCATTTGTATTTTTTTGGAAAACTGATTTCTTCTTAACCAGCAGGATAATCAGGACTTTTACAAATAGAAACGAGATTTCCTTGTTATTCTGTCTGTCTCTACTGAAACATCCACATCCACATTTCGGTTAATTCTGATGAGCTATACACAGATATTAGCTCAAGCAAGYAGAATCAGCTTAACTCAGTGGCATTTTAAATTAACTTGCTTTTGATTTGTAAATATTTGAAGTGTATTATCTTAGAAGAATGTTGGAATGACAACCTAACTGGTAACTTTTAAATATGTAGCTCATTAAGCACTAATACATTCAGATCCAGMATGCATCCCTGTAAGAAAGCAGCAGAGCAGGTTGTAAGGCATTGATAGTACAAGTAGCATGTGGGAGGTGAGGGAGATACACACAGGTGAAAAACAAAAAAGAAATCATGTCAGCAACTGAAGGCAGTATTAGCTCCCAAGGGATTATCAACCCAGATTTCACCAGGAGCTATTCCTTTATTATTCAAACAGCAGTCTCAGTGCCCTGTCCAATCTTCTCCCCAATTCTCCCAAATGCATTCAGGCACAGTGGTGATAACAAGTCAGTTTAGCACCAAATCAAATCACCCCCCAGCACAGCAGCTCCCTCAGCGAGCAGGGAGAAGCAAACAGGGATGGAACCGCAGCCGTGCCTGGGAGCAGAATCCTGGTGACACCAGAGCTGCCAGGGCCCTGCCCGCATCTGCCACCACGGTCTGGACAGGGGCAGCAGGTGACACAGGGAAAGCCCAAAAGAAGCRTTCCCAGAGCCCAGGGTGGCTCCCAGTGCCATTACTGATGCAGATGGAGACTGTGGGTGACCTTGTCACATTTACTGAACACCCAGCATGGCCCACATGCTTCAGGGGAAATGGGACAGCAAACACTTGCTCCTGCACAGTCTGCCTCCCTGGTTTGTACCTGCACCCAGCCTYTCCACAGATGATGCAAACAGAAAATTCTGCCCTCAGAGTCCCTTCCCCGAGGCCTGCACATGCTGCAGGATGTTCAATGCATTTCTTAGATACGTGGGCAGAGCCTCCTTACATYGCACTCCATCTCCTCATGGGAGACCCGATTACTTTCTGGATCAGGTCTCAGGGCAACATTGGTGAAGGGCAAACGTTTCCCTCCCACCAAAGCGTTTAGGCTGCCTTAATTCCTCAGCAAGCATGAGAGAGCAACCTTTTACTTTTGCTAAGATCCTGGGTTCTGTCTCCTCTGTGGTGCTGCCTGATATTTAGTAATTTGTTTTGACAGCATGGTACAGCGGATTTGTATTCCGGGGGGCAGCTCAGGTCAGCTGGTTACAGAGGGAGGACAAAGCCTGAGAAGTTCCTGCAGGCCCAGCAGCAGCCCAGAGGCTTGTTCTTAATTTAGACTCTCAGGACAGAAGCTCGGAGCGCTGACAATTACGCTTCTGTGCACAGATGGGCACGGAGCTCTTAAGGAGCTTCGATCCACAGTATGGATTTTGCAATCAGTTTCAGTATGCAGTATCAAAGTCATTAGGGGTCCCAAGCCAGGAGGACTGCTAATAGATCTGGATTCTTCTTTTCTTCTAACCCTCTGCTTGGTTGTAGGTGAAGAAAGGTGGGCAGCCAAAGCCTTCTGTGATACTTTTACAGGTTGCTGTGTTTTCAGCTCAGAGAGATTTTTTRAATTGGGCTGCGCAGTGCCACAGATCTTCAAGTATTTCCCAGAAAACCTCCTTGCCAAATCATTTACATAGGTATGAAATATTTTTTCTTGACTTTCTCTGCTTGCAGAAGGTGCTTTGCGGGCAATACAAGAAGGACCTAAAGGTGCTGGGAAACTTGAAGGAAGCATTTCATATTTACCACTGAATGATAAAGCTTTTCACCGAAGTATGTGCATGAATGAAGACATGAGTTTCTTCCTCCCTCTTAGCACCAAAGAAGAAACATTGGAAAACCAGTAAAAATTTAAAATAAGCTTTTACTTCATCAGCAAATCTGTTTTCAGAGGAATTTTACTATTATTTACAGCTCAGCTACTAATTTGGCTGCTTACTTGAGAAGCGGCAACTAAGAGAATCGGAAAAGATGCAAGGCAAAAACGTGATGAAAAGATGTTCCAAGGTCTATATAATGAATCATGACTGACCTCCTCAGCAATGTGTCCTCCCACACTTTAGAGAATGAATTATTACAGACATAAAATGGCAAGATTTTTTGTGCATTTTGTCTACAAAAATCAGCAGTATCTCAGGAAAACTGCACACACCACATATGCTACTTAATCTCTCTTCAAAGTGAAGGAAAAATCAAGATGCTCTGCCTTCTGTGATACGAAGTGGTGCCTGAAAGGGTCTTATGTTGACATCCAGGAAAACCTGACATCTCRAYACCCTGGGCCACACTCTCCCACCAWTATCCCACAGTGTGGTGAYTTTCAAGCATGGAGAGMAGACAGTGCCTGGATTGGCCTCACCACAGGATCTGTGGCTTRCAGTGACATTAATGCCATCCTCTTATTTTCCATGGCCAGAGCCAGTGGAGTTTCCATGAATGTGTCACGTAGCCAAGGCAGAATAGTTGAGACAACAAACTAAAAATCCACWGAGGTCTTGCTAAACAGGTTAGAATCCTGCTGACCCCTCAAATAAAAGGCAGACATCAACACGTACAGCTTTAATTCCCATACCTGCAAGGGTGCTCCAATCAGTTACATTCAATTTACTCAAATTTCTCCCACTGAGCAACTATATCATGTACACATCTGTGTTCTGGGAAACAACAAAATCCTGAGGCATTCAAGCAAGRGGGATAAATTAAAATGTGATAATGTAATTCCACTAGTAAAACTCAGTACACCTAACAGAATATCTTGGTGCTGATCTAGCTTTGCAAAGCATGTTTTGCTCCTGCTGGACCACTGTCAACTTCAGTCAAAAGAGGACTACAAGTATTTTTTTCCTCTGCCTGAGATTCATAATTTTCTCCAGTAATTTGCTGTCTAAGCATTTTGGGGCAAGATTTTTTCYTCTTATGCTGCTTTTGTCTTTCAGGCCATCACCTTCCTCTATTTAATAAAATAAGATCAATATCAAGCAGTTACCTACTTCACAAAATGCTACTCATCAGTATCTAGTAAGTAAAGGCCTATAAAGTACCTGGATCAAATTATCAAGCAACATATATACTTTTTTTTTTTTTTTTTTAATCTTGCAGGACTTGCAGGAAAGATTATGATTTAGACAAATGCCTACATATGCCCCAAGTTCACACTCCTCTCCTGGAACAAAGGGTTTGAGTTGAAAGAGTACATTGAATCGTGACAGAAGCATCTTTAAAAATACACTGAAAAGCCTGATCTAGGAATGCACAAACTAGTAATATAAAAGATTCCTTCTTCAGTAATAAACATGTCAGCTTTGAGCCCCAGAAAGAAAATTATATTCAGGCTATTCATGGATTCTTCATTTCAATACTTCTGCATGCTGCTCTAACTTCAACTTTTTTTTTCCCCCAAAAGTATATTGCAGAGAGGGGATTTTTAATTTACTGACCAAGAGAAAGACATCTGTCTGGCAATCTACCGTGCAAAGGGATCGTAACCATT